CACACACAACTATTTAAAACTATTTTAAAACAATCCCGAAGCTAACTCTGCAGTTTAAGTTCCAGACCCAGCAGCTTGTAAATCACACTGGGTGCCTGTGCCTGCATGCCCAAAGTCCTGAGGAGAATGGAGATGTCCATCCCCTCTGAGGAGTCATTTCTCATTTTTCCGTACTCTCTGTGTCTCTTAAGAAAGCATACATGCCCTATAGCAAAAACTGAAAAAAATTAAAAATACCTTAATTAATAGTAAAAACATCACCATTTGTGAGCTGTTTAGAAATATCACATTGGGGGTACAGAGAGTTCACAGCAGTAAAACACAATGCTCCACGAGGGTGACTTACCTGGAAATATTTCTGAGGTTCATGGCTAGAGATTTACTTGTGTATGCTGAGCAAACGTGTGCTGTGGTTCAAGGCTGGCTGAGTGTGAAAATTAACCATGATATCAAGATTCTCTTGAGGCTGTTATCTGTCTCTCTCATGGAAGAAAGAAAACCTTTTGTAATAAAAAATGAATCCTCTAGAAAAATAAAATAAAAGTATTTATATAATTATATAGTTAAGGCCTCATGCCTCTGTGGCCAGTTGGCAATGGGTGTAGGTGGCACCACCTCTGCACTCAGAATGGCAAAGATTGGGGGCCAGAGTAGCACCATGGCCACCACTGGGGTGTGTCAGGACCTGTTCATCAGGTATTGCATCTAGTTTGATTTTAGTTTACCAAGGAGAGAGCTAGACTTTCCAAGTTACCTGAACGTAAAGATCCTAAAGCAGTTCTGAGTCTTCCCTGAAGAAATTCAGCTTGGTGAAGAGGTGAAGAGTTACTAGCCCAAGGTGAGTAAGAGAAGGGCATGAACTATCTGACCAATGCCGTTGCTGTGTGTGGACATCCACAAGAGTTGCTTCAGGTGCTACAGTATATGCTGCTACCTCCCATGTTCCAGATACTGCTGACCAAGCTCCCAACAATCAATCAAAGAATTTTTTAAAAGAGATTTTTCCCTGGGCATAATGGCTATGTCACTGGACTCCCATGTAGTTGACCATGGATTAAGTCCTGGACCTGCTGGCCTAAACTCATGCCCGACACATGTGCATGCATGTCTAAGATTCTGAGAAGGAAACAGAGGAGAAGGGATTGTGGTGTGCCTATCCCCCTTGGGGGGTGATTTCTTGCTTTCTGTCTGTCTTTCTGGCAACTGGACATGCCCCATAGCAAAAATAAATAAATAAATAAATAAATAAATAAATAAATAAATAAATAAATATAAAAACCCCAA